CAATTGTTTTTGTTTTGTTTGTTTGTTGTTTTTTTTTTTTAGTTACAAGAAGCATATATCGGCACGATGAAAGTCACACTTTATTACAAAGGAAGATAGACGTCAGAGGGAATAAAGGAAGCAGTATATGCCACACGACAGCGCGCTTCAACCATCCGATTAGCTGGGAGTTCGATAAAATTAAAATAGTCATTTAGTGTTGGGTAAAAAGTAAGATAAACAGACAGTAACAACAAAGGGAAAGTAAAGAAGTAGTACCTACCAGTGGCACCCTTAAACCATCCACAAAAGGTAAGTGAAAAAATAAATAAATAGAAATTCGTATCCTGATTTCATAAAACGTTCTATGAGACTCAAATGCGACATTATGAGGTCGTAACACTTGGCCCCAAAACTAAACTTAAGGGGGAAAAAAGCTCTCCGAAAGACAACAAAAACAATTTACAGTGGTAATTAAATTGTGTAAACATCACAGGCGCAAATCTCAGCACAAATGTTTGTGAGCGTAATTCTACCTTTACAAGGGTTACGCTTCCCGCGAAAGAGCAATGAACCGATTTATAAACACATTTTTTCATCTCGAGAGATAGTGGGGCATGAGGCTTTTTTGAGGGGGGGGGGGGAGGGGGTGTATAAAAGCAAAAGTGAATCTCCCCTTCAAAAAAAGACATCTAGTATGTCGATGTCCTTTTCTTTTCTCGGACAACAACAAAAAGAACAACAACAACAACACCGTCACCAGCATCAACAACAATTATGACAAAGCAAAGAAACATTAAATTTAAAAAAGCAACAAAATCAACCAAATAAAACAAACGGACAAAAATCTCGCATCATGTGCTAAGCAGCTACCCAACAAGAACAACAACAACACGAACAACAACAACAACAACAACAACAACAACAAGAACAACAACAACACGAACAACAACAACAACAAGAACAAGAACAACAACAACACGAACAACAACACGAACAACAACAACAACAAGAACAACAACAACAACAACAACAAAAACAACAACAACAACAGCAACGACAATGAAGACCACACAACACGGCGAGCAGAGCACAACACCATTGACGTCTGGCGATACGATATTCACAATGCAAACACAGTGTTGGTTTTAAACGAAAATTCATGTGTCCCCTGGGTCGTATGGGAATGCCTTTTTACTGCTGCATCCTTCATCGTAATGCCAGAGAGCCACAGACGGGAGAAAACAAAAATAACAACCACAATAACAAAAGCAATTACGACAACTAAAACAAAGCCGGGGTCTCTTTCGTGGATTTTATTTTTGATGCCCCTTGGGTCACAAGGGGGCGTCGTTTTATGGCTGTATCCTTCTTCAAAATGCCGGAGATACTGGGCAAAACGAAAACAACAAAAACAACAACCACTAAAACAACAACAATAACAACAAATTACGACAACGAAAACAAAGCTAGGTCTTATTTTGTTGATTTCACCCCCCCCCCCCCATCTTTTTATTGTGCATCCTTTATCAAAACGCCAGAGAAACCGAGGAAATCGAAAGCAACAACAACAACAACAAAAACAACAACAACGATGACAATAACAAAACAATTACAGCAACAACAACAATTATGATGACAACAACAGTAACAACAGCAACTACAACAACAGCAAAAATAACAATTTTGACAACCTAAACCAGCGTGTCTTTTTCAAATTTGTAGATTTATAAGAGTTGACAAATATACATATATTATGTATATCTTTTAGTTTTTATCAAAGCATCTGTATATATATCCCTGTGGAATCCGACAAAATATGTTTGGTGGGAAAAGATCAGCACAAGAAACATTCAAGCATCCTAGAAGAGAAATGAGAGGCGAATCATGAATGCGGATGTCTGTTTGTTCGTTTGAGTAAAGAGAAGCACAGCAACCTGATCAAGTCCATTTTGTGCTGGGGAAAAGTGAGGCAGACGGACAGAAACAACAGAGGGAAAGTTAAGAAATCGGACCTACCGGTGGCATCCTCCAACCACCTGCAGCCATGGTTGCGGATGTTCGTTACGTTATTTAGTCAAACGTGGTATTTCCTCAGGATGCCTAACAATAACACCGGCCAAAACTTCCTCTACCAGATGTCGCACAGGTCACCACTGACAAACTGCTGCTGAATAGTACTTCTACAGTTACATACGTCTTTAAAAAGTTTAAAGTGATTTCTTTCTCACTTTTTATTTTTATCTTTTTCCTATTTCGAAATTTCACTCACTTACGTATTTTATCTAGCGGGACGCACAAGTCCACGTGCGTGTA